GTCTATTTCCAGCTGCATTCACGGGGGAGATTTGTTGCGAAACAGCCGTTTCGCGACTTTGAAGCTTAATAAATTTCTTTTACATTTATGTGCTCTATAACTCATTGAAACACACCGCCACCAGCAAAAGCTTCCATACGACCGTTATTGGACCGTGTGTGCAGGCTGACGTAAATCCTCCGTATCTTCGCCATTTTTCCGCTCGACTTCCTTTGTCGCGCACATAATTTATTGTACCTCTAAATTTACGTAATTTATCGTCCCGTTTAAATCATCTTTCTGGAATTTTTACAACAACAAACTGTATAATTGTTGCCGCATCTACAGTCCGGTATTCAGCTCGATAAGGATTGTATAATTATTTTTCCAACGCAACTCGCAACTCCATTCGGCCTCTGCCCGACTTGGTTGAAACCAAGCTAAAGCATCGGGTACGTCCCAATTGAGAAAATACATCGCATTTTCTATTTTATAAATGGAGACCACATTTTACCGCGATATTATCTCGACCATATAAAATTCGAAGCATAATTTCCGCCACTAATTAATGCGAAACTCCTATCCGTTATCACAATTAAACGTATACGTGCGAATATGCAGAAACACGGTATTAATTCACTTCGCTTTAGCGATGTTACGCCTGTCCTTCGCTCACTGTTGCATCCGTAATTTATAACGTAACCAAATTTATTTCGCTTGTTATCATTTCCATGCGCGGGACCTAATGAATATCGCGCACGAGAGAAATGTAAACAATCTCTTTAGGGTAACAATTGTCGCGGAACGAATAAACGTATGCAAATTGTCAAGCGCGAATACTGCAATTGTGGTGCAAAATATACATGTAACCGAAAAGATAAATTCGCAAAGCCTCACGAAATTATCCTGTCTTCAGATAAACAGGCGTTTCTCGCTGCGTTTCGTATTCCGTTGTACGTCCATTTTCTATCGACTTACCTCGACGTACTCCATACGCATTACATCGAATACCGTATACATCTGATAAACTTTTTTTACCAGCACCATTTCGTTTGGGATGCATCGCAGATGGGATCGACAGCGCTTCAATGTCTGGTAACATCCTCCGCTTCTCTCCCACGTGTTTCCGTTTACACGTGCGCCGGTAAATGTGAGCCATCAATTTCACTTTGTATCCAGAAGAGAGATTTCAGGATAGCTTCTCGTCTCGTTATTCCGATACTCGCTTTTCTTCGTCCCATTGAAGGAGGCAGAAAAAGAAAACGGACGATTTTACCTTTGCCCTTCAAACTCTTCGCTTGTCCTGGAGATTCTCGACAAACTCCTGGCTCATTGTTAAACTCTTAAAAGGGAGGAAGGTATTTTAGAGAGAACATGAGGGATAATCAGTTGTCGTCTCGTTGAAATCAAGAAGAAGGTTTGCCACAAAATTGGAAAAAAATGTCAAAGAAATTGAAAATGGTAAGGAAAATTGAGAAAAAATCAGAGAATTTTTCAAAATTTTCTGAAAAAATTAAAATTTCTTGGTTTTAGAAATTTAATATGCATGTGTCATACTTACTCAATTTTGGAATACTATCAAGTTAACAATTAAAAGGAAACGGTGTGAGCAACATTAATAGTGATTTACATATTAAATTGTTCCCAGTAAGATACTTAACGATTTCCAAATCAGAACAAAAATACGGAAAATTTCAAAATTATTATTGAAGTATCAGGGAAAAATTATGAAATTTTAGGAAGAAGAATTTGTGACAATTCTACAAACATACATGCTGTATAATACATCTTAATTTTAATGACGAATTTTTCAAGTAGGTCGAAGTGAATTTTTGTCAAAAAAGAAAAAAAACGTCGAAATGCTAATGTCTCCTAAAGTCTATTACTTCTGGCGAATCTATAGTACCGGCCGGCCGGAGTAAATCCCCAACTTTGCAGTTCGGTATGAAAAAAAGACGGTTTTTTTTTCGCATTCCGCAAATAATGAGAATTACGATCACGTCTGCGGGCGACTGATTTCGAAATAAAATTCGTTCTATTCGCCGAGAGATTATAATAATTCACCGGGCACCGTTACGCAGTCCGCCCACGAACCGTTCCGCATTTCTGCCACCCTCCCTCCCCCCCTGCCTTCCGCATCTCGCCCGAAAGGAGCAGACAGAGGCAATAATCCGGCCATAAGTTTCATCCCATCGTGCAGATAAGATTATTGCGCGACTATTACTCGAACTGAAAAGCGCTCGATTGAAACGGGTGGGAATCTAACAATAGGCGGTAGAAACATGGTACGCATTAATCTTGGTTTCTTAATTGTCGGAACAAATTAATAATTAATCTTTTATCACGGGTATAAAGCTAAGCGAAAATTTTTAATACACGCAATAACGAGATGGAATTTTTTGCTTATTGAAGTTTACAACGTCAAAGTTTCACGATAAACGTTAATTGTCTAATTTTCTAAAATGTTAGTATAGCTTTTGTGAAATTGCGTGACATTCATTATCTCAAATTGGCGCAATTAATGGACGCTAATGTCATTGAAATAACAAACTGCAACTTGTTTCAAAGGTCAGCGTGCGTAATTATTTTTGGGAAATGGAATATCGTAAAATGCAAAGGCTCGAAATCGAGGCGTGTTTAAATTGGACTCCAATTTAATATTTAAATTTTATCGAATTCGACACACGCCGTGTCAAACTGCATCAATCACGACACGCGGGTGATCGTGCTGCATCAAAGCGTGGCCGCGCAAATTTCGGCGAGGAGATTTAATGGTGATTCGTTAACGGAGTAAACGTACCTCCGCTTCAATCGGAGATTAATATCTCGAATTTTCTCGCCTCGACCTATTTATCCCGCGTTCGGACTTTTAATTCACAAGCAGCAGCGCTGGTGCATTCGTGCGTCATCAGATGTATATGTAATATGGACATGTACAAAGAGGACCGCAACTGACAGCATATGTACAGTGACGTGCAAAAATTTCCGGCCGGTGACATTTTATGCTCTAATTTATAAAAAAAAAAAAATCCTGATAAATTTTTGATTATTATTGGATATTAGTATAAGATGTGGATAACGAACTCTTGTACTAACATCCGACAATGATAAAAATTTTATTAATTAGAGTACAAAATGTCACGTCGAAAATGCTGAAGTGTAAGAGAGATTTTTGTAAATTTCTCTCTCTCTCTCTCTCTTTCTCTCTCTGTGTTAAAATCTCTCACCCACCACGGAACTGATTTCATAAAGAACGACGTACGATGAAAGCAGTAGGGTCGAAGAGAAACTGCTTGTACTTGTAACGCCGTTCTCGCACGCGAATCTTTTCACGAAAAGGGGCGTCCCTTTCGTCGAACACACGCGCCCGTGTGTTTCCATTTTCTTGCGATTTCGCACTCAGCCCCCCTCCCCTCTCCCTCTCCCCCCCCCCCCCCCCCCTGCACCGTTCTCCCATAATGGGAATTTATTTCCCAACTACGTGATAGCTCGCCCAGGGAATACGAAAATGAATGCCGTGATCGTAAAATAACAAGCTGCGCCATGAACCGGGACGAACGTGCACGTACATAGGAAATTTCAAAACTTTCTCTCCCTCTCCCGCTTACTCGAATTTACTTGTTATTTTTTTAAATTTTGTTTTTTTACCCTACGCATAACGTGTCGATTTATCTTCTCCTTTTTTAATATTTTTACCGCCGGATGAGAGTCAATTACGAGATCGTCAGCCAGAATAAAATTCGCAAACTCATGAAGCGAAATTAATATTTCATCCTATGTCATCGCCATCATCGCCCGGGATTTTATGGGAGCCTCGATAAGCACCGATTGTTATCGGCAGTCGTATGACGCGCATTTAATTTTTAATGCAATTGGAAATGTCGAATCGAATAACTCTCATTTTTGCCTCTCTCTTTCTTTTCTTTCTCGGTCTATCCTTCTCTTTTTTTTTTTCTTTAATTTCTTTCTCGTACTCTTTACATCACATTTTTTTCATCGATCCTGCGACGAAAACGCGACGCCGATACGTTAAGGGAACTTTGTAATTTCCAGCGCGAATCGTAGAACGACCATTTCGACGGACCATTCCAATTGCGCTCGGTGACGCAATTAAAGTCGAGCCGCGGCAAACGAGATCTATCGGTCCTTCCAATATAATTGTTTCCATGATGCGACCGAACAGTAATTTTTCCCGCTCAGTTACGTCATGAGAAGTAGAACTTTATAAGATCCATTCATTTCCGCGAGTATTTTCAAAATAAATGTCGCGTTTAAAAGAAACAATTATTATTATTCAATCTTATAATTTAATTAATATATATATGTATATCATATATTTATCGTCTAATAGCCAAAGACTTTCCTTTGTAATTCGAGTCGCTTTTTGTTTATTTTTCCTTTTTTTTTTCCAGTTTTCTTTTTATTCATCAAAGGTGAGAATCAAGGCTCGCCTTTTCGCACAGTGTTTTTAATCATCGGTTCGTTTAAGGGAGGCTGGATCATATCTTCTTCTCACGCGAGCCGAGTATCTTTCGAATCACTCGCGCTTCCGACGCGCGTAGGGGATGAAATGGATATTGGGTGCAAGGGTAGAAAAAGAAAGAGAGAGAGAGGAGGAGGAGGAGGAGCTTTTCTAGCTTTCCGGCTGTCTGTTTCCGTTTTTCCCTGCCGGAGAGATCCGTGTGCCCCGAACAGAGAGAACGATGTATCTCCGTGGAGGAGCATCCAAGCGTATTTTAGAAGCTACTTGCGCGAACGGACGGTCGAAGAACAAGAGAAAGGAGAGTTCATGTTTATCAATTTCAAAGATATCCCAAGACGCCGAATGGAATCGATAAAACCGCGACCCTGATAAAACCCAGGGATAAAATACTGATACATACAGACATCGTTGTATCTCCGATAAAACTCGGAGATAGATATCGGTCACAGTTTTAGAATAGATAGCGATGAAATCGATAAATATAGATAGTTCGCCGCGGATATTAAATCTATTCGTATCTATTCCTATCTCGTTGCAGGAATTGAACAGCCGACACTTAGACCCCGTGGAAGTGTTCCGCGGGATACCTTACGCTGCGCCTCCCGTAGGAGATTTAAGGTTTCGTCCTCCGATCTCGCCGATACCTTGGAACGGTGTCAAGCTGGCGGATACATTCGGCGCGGTGTGCCCGCAGAATTATCCGGACCTCACCAATAACACTGCCGCGCTCTTGCAGATGCCGCAAGGCAGGTATCAGCAGCTCAAAAAGATGGTCGTCTTCCTGGCCAACCAGAGCGAGGACTGTCTCTTCCTCAATCTGTACATACCCGGAAGCGGTAAGAATGCACTTGTCGGTTCTACTTAATAGTATTTGATCGTATTAAGAGCCATTAAAAGCACGTAGAAAAACTTAAGTAGTATGACGTAAGTAATGAAGAAATCAACATGTTGAATGATTGCTTGCTTATATTATGGTTTTATATTCTCGACTATGATTGACTGATTTACTTATTGGTTACGTCTTTCTGCTTAAATTTTTGTGTGCTATAACTCTAATCGTTACACAAACCTACGTACAAGTTGAAGAAGCGTTATTGAAATTATTTTAGATAAGTGATTCCTCATTGCACATTGCGTGATCCACTTTCTCGTAATACTTCCGTTCATTAGGAATTAAATTATGACGTAATGTCTTTTGAGAGAGAAAGAAGGTTTCTTTTTTTACGAAAGAAGGGCAAGGTCATACGATAAATAATATTCTAAGAGGGGCTATGCAAAATTACGTTTCTATTGTCGCCTAAAGTACCTCGGCAGTAACGTAAAGTTTCTCAGTTCTGACAGAATAAAAGGGATAATAAGTTTTAATGAAGGTCTTTACTCTTCGGGAAGGTAGTAAAGCTACTCCACATTGAGTTAATGAAAGTTCAACTCTTACTATCTGAATAAATAATGTATTTTTCACATCTTATTATTATTTATTCAAGCAGCACAGTTTACGAGCGTTGCAACTCAATTATCAAGTCTCGATCGATATTTATTTCAAGGGGAACTCACGCACGTATATATCCGTTATAAATTCTTAAATAAAAAAATTCTGTATTAAAGTTCTGTAATAAAAAATTAATAACTTTTAATGGTTCAACGCGCTCGTTCATTGTGATTATGAAGGGGCGCAAAAGAAAAGACTTAAATTGATTTCACGCTTAAAATTATGTATCGACAGGAAGACGTCCAGGAGATGCAATCGACCGAGGTTAATTTTATACGATTAAAAAGAATTTTATATGCCGGAAAACAATACGTTACATTGGAACGTTATAAAGTTTTGAAGCCGCGCGGCCATAATTCGGCTCCTGAAATTCTCAACTATATTATCTATCGGAGCCGACAATTTATGCGTCCGTATAGTATTACATGGCACAAGTTGCTTCCTAAAGTAATTAGTCCTAAAGTAATTAGTATACCTTTATGCCGGGTAGTATCAACCTGGGAGCAGCCGCATGCGTTACGTCGCACGTTACTCGGTGCGCGATGAAAGATAGAGGCGAATTTGCAACGTAAAGCGGCCGGTCTGCGCCGTAACCTCGGTCGGGCTACAAAGGAAAAAGGAAGAAGGATTGAAAATTCGCGCAAGCTACGCGAATAACACAGGATACGGATAGAGGAGAGTAAGAAGCCCGTAAAAAAAAGCCGATCAAAAAAGAATCTCTCAATCGAATTTTCGTTACGGGGAAAGCGACTGTAAATCAATCAGATCCCAGAATTTTCGCTTTGTAAAGAATTCCAATTTTCGGTGAAAAATTTCACCGAGAGCTGCGCGTACGATCTCTCTTATATGACGCTTTTAGGTGATTTCAGGTTCAGATTTCAGTTACGGATTTCGTGACGATTAGAGGCTCGATTAACGGTCGCTTTAAACGGCTCCTTAATATACGATCGCACGCCAAGCACAGCTTTGATAAGACAAATATCGATTGGTATCCCGTAATCGATAAAGACAGTGCTTCGCAGCGCTGCATCGAGCAGTACTCACGGATTGATCGATACTAATTGGGCTAGTTTTACGAGTTAACGGATAATCAAAGTAAGATCGCGATACGATTGAATTACTAACTACGATGATTGCGAGCTCACGTAACTTGGCACCGCGTGAAAGCCATCTCCCGTGATAGTTTAGGATGATGTCTCCCCAGACAGGTAATCTGATGTACCCAGTATAAATCGTATAACAGACAGACATTAATTAGTTGCGACGCGATGGATGGATAAATGCGTATTCCTGGTTTATTGGTTGCTGAGACGATTATCAATTAAATGGAAACTTTTAATCTCGAAACCCAGCTGATGCAGACGTGTACATAGAAGATTAGGGTGGAAAGAAAGGAAGAAAAGAGAGAGGAGATTCGCTAAACCCGAAGTACTTACAAACACGAAAACCTCGGAACGTGCCCAGGTCTATAAAAAGCGTCGAGTAATCCTAAAGCCTTATTAAAACAAGCTTTTCGCTTTAATTTACCTTCGGTTCCGGCTTACGCGACGCTCTCGGCGTAAAATTTTACGTTCGCCGTAAAAGACGAGCGTTTAAAAAAAGGGATATGCGTTTTATCGGGACGATTTTCCAAATCGTGTATCGGTAGCGTTTACGACAGCCGTGGCGGATCCGCGCGAAGATTCTGCGTTCTGGACGAATCTCTCTGTATCTCGCGTAAACCGCGTATCGTGAGATACGCTTATTTGTGCGCGTGAAAAGTTGCCGCCGCGACTTTGCCACGTAAATAAATTTGTGGCAGCGACGATCGATCGGTGCCACGAAGTTGTTCAAAGCGAAGCACATCCGTCGCTCTTCCCCTTCGTCTCTCTCTCTCTCTTGGTAAATGAACAGTTTTGACCCGCGCTGCGCGATTTTTCTCTCACGGTCGTTTTACGTGCAACGAATCGCGAATACCATACATAGATCTGCTCGTTTCTGACGATTTCGCGAGACCGTGTAAAGACGTGACGAGCTCGTAGAGAATTTGGATGCTTAGCGCGGATTATGCGATGCAATTAGTTATCTTAATTGCGCAGGTGGCAAACGGCGAAAACGACTAATTGGCTGTAGGGATTTCATTTTACGTTCATAGGAAAAACGAAACATTCGCGGGGAGAGGGGGAGGGGAAAGAGGAGAGACCTGGGAGTGAATTTAGCCAGAGTATAAACAATATCGCAAAACGAAGTTGCAAACGCGCGCAGAAGAACGACACTCTTAAAACGATGGAAGCTCGGCTAGGCGCAATCCGTTGCTTTACATTTGCGATTCGCTTACGAGAAAGAGGGATAAAACGAAAGAGGGGTGTAAGCATAATGCTACGTAAACGATAATGTGCGGTATTACGGGAAAAGCTGGATCTGTCAATGGAAGGTTTATACGGATAAGAGGTTTATTCGTGGAAGAAAATGAAAGAGCGACGCGGACCCCCATTTGCCTGCTTGCTTTCAGGATCTCGAGGACTGGAGGCGCCGTATGCGGTGATGGTGTACATACACGGTGAAAGTTTCGAATGGGGATCGGGTAACTTATACGATGGATCGGTCTTGGCTAGCGCCGGCCACGTCATAGTGATCACGCTCAACTATCGTCTCGGCATCTTAGGTACGTGCTACCCTTTAATCAACCGTCCCGCATCCCCGAAAGCATTTTCATTAAGCGAACCTTCTGACGCAACATTCCACGGACAAAGAAATTCCAAATAACATCCATCTTGCGTCAAGATACCTTAATTTCTACCTTGCAATTTCTGAAATTTTATTTGTTTATTTTAGAACTTTCTTTACCTCTGAGTTTGCTGTACTTAATAATTTGTAGACAAAAATTTTTTATACTGAATAATGTGTTTGGATAAATAATTAGTCGATTTTTTTTTTATTATAATTATGTTACTAGAGAAACATTGGAAAACATAAATATCTAAGTAAAGAAGCGTCAATTATTGGAAAAGTTGCACTATATTTCTGTACAACGCAGAAAGCGCGTTTATTACGACTCCCACTTCCCCGAAAGTAAGTTCGTATCATTAACTACTATACTCTCTCCGAAATAGAGAGATAGCTTCGTAGAAACCATTTACATTCTTAAGTCAATATTGGCACTTTGAAGACCCACAAATGTATCTCTGTCGTAGTGCGCTGAGGATATACGAAAGTCCGAAAATGTCAATTCTATCTATTTACTTGTTAAACTTCCTTGGTTTATGACTTAATAGCGTAACGAATATTTATACGCTTCGTTTAATTATCGCAGTTATGAAACATTAAATCAAATCTTCACGCTTGTTCCTCTCTATGCTTCTCTTAAATTTTTTTAATGAAATTCTCCGCTTCTCATAATCAGAAAAATCTTTATTTCTTAATTTGAAAACACACATTATTAAATATTATAAAATCAAACTATATATTATAAAATCAAACGTTTAAATTAATTTCTTAAGTTAAACAACATAGTTATTTTTAACTTTCAAATGTGTCGAAATGTATTATTTTAAAGCCCATCACACATAAGATGACATAAGCTGCATAAGCATAGCATAAGGTTGCTGTAGCAATGAACAGCTTATGTAAATGAATTTGGCGTCTTTATGTCTCATTGGTCCAATGGCCTTATACTATACTTGTACAGCTTATGTCATGATGTGATGGATTTAATACGTAACATGTGAAAAAAAAATAACTATCACATCAACTCATTTCTGTAGTCAAATTGCTTACTTTTAAAAACAGCATTTAGATTAACACTAATAAACAGTATTTAGATTAATGTATGTAATTGGTAAATAATAAACTAAATTTGAATTAAACTTCCCGGCCGAGGTAATATTTTTCGCAATAAATTTATTACAGTTTCAACATATTAACATCTTTATAATATGATGCTTGATGGTAGCATCAAATCATTAAATTGCTTGTCAATTTAATTCGCGATTACCATAGTAGTTTTAATTGCGTTTTATAGTTCGGAAAAATAATTCGGCGCGCAGTTCTAAAAAGACTACAATATGGTATATATGCAAGTACATATATAGCGTATATTAATAATTCAAGATTGAATTATTTAAAGCAATGAAAATCCAGTTTCGTAAATAAGCATTTTTCTAGTATCGATTGTGTTTCTCACATATATGGTCTAAATAAAGATTTCTTAATGTTGTTTGAATTAACACATTTCTTGATTTAATTTATCTAAAAGAATGGATTTAAATTGTTTAATTCTATTATTTTAGCTAAATTAACGACACATTGAGTAGAAATAATAGCGATCTATAAAAATAATTTTAAAATAATTTAAATTACGTATAATTTGATATCATGAATTTAAGTCGCTTTCATGGCGAATGGAAATTTGGCAAAATTTTATCAAATGAACGCTATCGCAAATGTTGCGTGATAACGATAGGCAAAACAAAAAAAGAGAGAAATGCAATAAAAGAAGGATATCGTATGATCCGTGAGAATGGTTAAATCGCGAACGATTTGGCGTCCTTCCAGGATTCTTGAGGACTCGTCCGTTCCCTGACCGAACGAGCGGATCCGGCGGGAATTTGGCTTTAAAGGACATCACGATGGGACTCCGTTGGGTGCGTGAAAACATCGGCGCCTTCGGTGGCGATCCAACACGGATAACTCTAATGGGCCACGATACCGGAGCGGCGCTGGTGAATTTGCTATTGCTCGCTCCTTACAGCAAAGGTAAGAGAGGAATTCTTAGCGCAATTAGCAATTAATCCTTCGAACTCCGTCTGAACGCTCGCGTACACCGCGCACGAAATGTTGAATTCCGCAGAATCCTGTTTTAACGGAACGTTCTTACGATTTAAACGTCTTCTAGCAATTAGAGAGAGAGACACGGAAGAAACTTATGTTTGCAAACGATTTGCGTATCTAGACCACGGTTGCCACCTCTCGACTAGTGTTCCATTGGAGATCAATAGCTGTTCTATCAGAGATCCTATTATCTTGCCGGAGATTGATTGCCACTATCAAAATTGTTACTGTTTTATAGTATGCTCTCTAAAAAAAAAACTTTTTTTCGAAATTGAAGGAAAACCGATGCGCGTACCTAAAAAAAGATTATCAAACTTTTGAGCAGTCGCAGATTTTTTTTTCGTCAGCTGAAGAGCCGGAGATTCTAGAGATCAAAAAAACCAGAGTTTCTAAATATTATTATAAGAATAAGAACATCATATGTCTTCCGTTTCATTTAATTTTGACCCATCGATACATATACTTTTTGCGAATTGATACATCACTATTCCTTTTCATGCGCACCATCGAATCCCCGTTGACAGCTTAATGCTGTCACTGCGTCATCAGAATTAACAGTTCATCGGTTGCTCCAAGCGATGAACTATTGGGATATAAAATAAATCAATTCGATCAGCGCGGTATAAACACTGGGTGTTGAGGGCGGCAGAAATATTTGCTTGTCGAGTAACTTGATCCAATATTTACGTCGCTAACGTATTAATAACGTTGTTGTTTATGACAAGAAAACACAATGAAAAATGATACCAATACCGTTTCGCTCAGCGTAAAATACATACATGAAATTCGAACGAGAGGCTGAGCGATCGGAGGTTCGATCAATTCCACCTATCGGCGGTGATTTCGCTGAAAACTCCTGGCGAAATAACCGGCAGGTTAGAAACGAGGAGACGCTATTTGCAGGACCTTCGGTAGATTAATCGTCCAGGGATTAGTTGGCGAGGATCTCATGGAGGAGACAACCGAAGGGTTGGTCCGTCCTCTCAAAAAAACATCACCAAGCTCGGGGTGACAAATTACAGGACTCCATTTTATTCGATAAGAGGAGAAAGCGAGATGAGACTTTTCCTTTTTTTTTTTCCTCTCCTTTTCCCTTTTTTATCGTCGTTGGACAACACCAGCCAAAATTGAACGATCCTCCCAGCCTTTGTCCCTTCAGGTGATCGCGGGATTCTCCGCGGTATAGCTACTCAGGCGAGGGAATTGCGCAATAATAAAAATGCATGGTCCTCGGAACGCGCGTAGAACAAAAGCAAGGACGCTAAAAGCATCGTAAATACATCGCCGTGCGATAAATCCACGCGAACGCGATTACCGTGTGATATAGTTGGACACTAATTCCGCGCCAATCAGGCAAATTATGACTAACGCTGCGACCGTTTCGCTACCCATACGCTTTGCATAATCGATGGTCCAGATTCATTCGATTTGGCACGCTTAAATGTTCCACAACCGCAATAATTTCGAAATAGCACAATTTCCTAAAATTATCTATTTCAACCTTATTCTATATATATAATAGTGTTCTTTATAAAACCTTTATTGTCATATATCAAAGGAGCAATGGTAACTCAATCTCTTGAGTTAAATAACATTTTGATATTAATAAGGTTCAATAAAATTAAAAAAACGAAAAGGGAAAAGGGCTACGAGCCTAAGGTCAATTAATAAATTAACTAAGGTTCAATAAATTAAAAATTGAAAACGTTACTAAATAAATATGTCATTTAGTTAAAATATAAAACTTTAATTTATCGGCAATAAACAAACAGTTCAGTGACAATAACAAATAATTATTTATATATTTTCTCTTTGTAATATTAGGTGTTGGAATTAATTCGTAGCGTTTTACAAGTGATGGGAAGTACTTTCATTAATGTATTTTTTAATGCTCATGTGAAATAAATAACATTCTTTCATTTAAAAACGCTACGAATTAATTCCAACACCTAATAATTTCACCGTTATTTTTGTTAACATTGATAATGATCCAATAGGGATCGAAACGTTTGTTTATTATCGATAAATTAAAGTTTATGTTTTAACTAAATGACATATTTATTTACTAACGTTTTCAATTTTTAATTTATAACGATTAACCTTAGGCTCGTAGCTCTTTTCCTTTTCGTTTTTTAATATTTTGATATTTTTAGTTTCATATGTATGAATCAAAATATATACTTATCAATTTCTGTGGTTAGTTTCAAAGTTAACAATGTCCATATTAACGTTTGCACTTAGTACATAACTAATGTTATGCACTTAGTACATAATAAACTAAATTTGAATCAAATTTGTTTAACTCCAATGTTTTAGTTAGATTAATATTATATTGAATAGAAGCAGTGGCGACTTATAAAAGTGATTAAAAATAATTCAAATTGTGGGTATAATTTAACATTACAAATTTAGTAGTGTTGAGGAAAAGAAAAATGTAAGTAAAGTATTGTTCAGATGCTTAGAAATTTTAAAGCTTATTATTTTTATTATATTTCTCTACCTCATAAGAGTATAACTAATGTAAACTTAACTCTTAAACGCCACTATGAAACTTGAGTATAGCGTATCCAATTTAGTTGTTTGTAATTTTTATAAAAATGAATATATCATAAATAATCAAAAGACAAAATTTGCGTATCTTTAAACTATCTACTTAAAAGTCGATATATATATATATATAATTTATTTAAAGTTATTAATCTTGCTCTTAATTTTTATTTTAAAAAATAATCGTTTTATTTAGACAAAATTAAATAAATCATGATGATATATTAATTAAAAATTTTAATAGAATAGTTAAACGAAAAGCAGCATCGTTCCTTTTGCGAGAAACTCCTCAATTTCAAAATTGTCACCATTGATAGGGAAAAGCCGAAAGTGTATTCGCTCAGACAGGCGGAACGGACGCTAAGAAGGAACACGAAGGATAAGCGGTATGGGGAATAGAGGTCGTTCTCGCTGTGGTGGTCGGTCGGAACCACTCTCCCGTCTGGCCATTTCCCGGACCTCCGGTTGTGCAGGAAACAGCGCAAACAGTTTACATCTCGAGAAGGGAGCATCGCTCTTGGTTGTGCATTCCTTCCGTGAGCCATCCTTCCTCTCGAGGCTCGACTCCGATCTTAGAGTGAATGAGTGAAAGAAAGAGAGAGAAAGAGAGAGGAAGATGGGAGGACAGACCCTCGGGGAAACCGCTTTTCTTTAGCATCCCGGATGCCGTCGAGGTCAGTCGTTTTTCCGACCTTACCGCACTTTCCGCTTCTTCGATTCCGACGTCGGCGCCGCCGGCGGTTTCCGCGAGACCAGGTGCGGTTTCTATACTTCTTACTGCTGCTAGTCAGAGATTGCGGGTGCCAGGAGGATGCTCTTCTTTCGAAAAAGAAAACGCTTCGCCGAAGTTACGAGGAAAGCGGTAACGAAGATGCATCGATTTTTAATCCGTTGCTGAGAGAAAAGTCTGAATTTTTTTTCCATGTAATTTTCTTTTCACGCGAGTACTCAAGAAATGTTTGAGGCTTTCGAGAACCACGGAATTCTGAGATGATCGTTGATCGCGTGAAGAGGATTGTACCAGGGAGAGATCTACTCTCTCACTTTACTTCAGACAAACGACATTAGCTTCTCTGGCAGATGCGAATGCATCGTCTGTAGATGCTTAATATTGCAACGAGATGCGGCCCAAGCGGTTGCACTCGGTCGGTCTATAGGACTTATAGTTATGCAAAATTAATGAGAGACTGAGTGGAATAAATGGAGAAGTGTCGATGAGAGTTGCCGCTTGACCGCGACGCTGCAAAAATATTAATAGACCCTTATATATCGTGATGACACATAGTTATGAGAAAACTCGCAAGAATGCGTTATATACGTTGTTGTTGTTAGTTATATTCGATGGTAAAAGTGTAACGTAACAAGAGTTTTGGATTAAGTTGCACCGAAACTAGTGTAAAATCGATTCGGGTGTTACGTTGATTCCCAACGATTTTTCGCGGTATCCACACGCGGTGTTCCCGTGCAATCCGCTTTTTGCCGATGCATTTTGTTGTACTCGATACGATTACACGGGGAACGGCTAATGGCTTTGCCCGGCGTTGCGTAAAAAGTTGCAAAACGATCGGTTTGGGTTTCCCGTCGATAACTAGCCGTCGAAGGTACGATTGCTTTCCCGCCGTTAGCTGCTGTCTGCCTTCGGCGGATTTCGATGTCCGATGATAAATGAAGACCATGGCTCTACCACCGAAGACATAAACGTTTCGTATTACATCGATCTCTCGTGTAATTCAGAAAGTCACTTCTTCTAGCCTTCCCAAGGGTGTTTGGGGTGCGGTTTTCCCGCTTCCCTTTCTCAATCCCGAGAAGACTGTCGACGTTACGTATCATCGCCCGGGAAGAGACAAGAGAAATAAGCTTCTCATGGCGTAGAGAGACAGTCTCGATTTATCGTTTCCCCCCGTTGTAATTTTTTATGAGCGAAGATCCAAGCGTGTGCAACACGCCTTGAAATGTCTTCTCTGTTACACGCGTATCATGTTTGTGTGTGTATGGATTCTTCAATTCTTGGACGGTAACATCGTCTCTTTTAGAGTTGCAGTCTCTACCTCGCGTCTGTTCCTCTGGCAGTTTCACGGCTCTCACGAACCAGAGATACGAGCGATTGGCTTCGTGAGTAATCAAGGAGGCAACCGAGTGTGATTCCTGGCAATTGTCTGATTCGCTGCACCCTGAGACGTATAAGTCTCCCGGTTATGGCAACTCAAGCGTTTCAGATTATATTTGTGCAAATGCGAAAAAAAAGGAAGAGAGGATAGGAGGATTTCATTCTCTGAAAATATCTCGCATGAAAACGGATCAGTCAAGCTTAGTGGATCAACAGACTTTCAATGTACAAAGAAAAATAATGTAGTAAGTTATTATAATTCTGCAAATTC